CTAGTGCCCTGAGCTGGAGGAGCCACATGGAGACCCCTGCCAGCGCTGAGATGCTTCCACCACCACTGGATCCACAAGACTTCCCACCCACTAACCTGTGATCTTCCTGCATTCGGCGTCATTGCGTGTGTTTCATGAGTCTGAAGAGGAATTTAGAGATTGACATCGGACAGATGGGCTAATATCGGACTTATGGACTTGATCTGGACTGGGCTGGTGTGTTTTCTCAGTGTTCTATTGCTCTTGTATAGAAAGCTCTTTCTTATACACATAGGAGTGTCTATAACTTTTGTTTCTCTAGTCCACCTGGACTAACACAGCTACAAATGGGCCTCACACGACTAGTCCCATCTTTGGAACCGCCGTGAGCGAGTTGTGTCCTGAGAGTCTGGGGAACCTGCCCAACCCCGGGTCTACCCGTGACGTAGGATGCTTCCTTATTGAGAGTGGTTTTCACTGAGCGGAAAACGAAACAAGGAGAGTGGTGCTAGCTTTCAAATAGCACCCACCCCACCTGAGCTCCGCTCCCTTGAGATGGCATTGCCTTCCTGAGAGAGAATGCTGGAGCAAGCCAGCGGCCAAACATGGGGAAGCCAGGAGAACGCCAACTCGCCGGGCGGACCACCTGCCAGGAGTGCTACGTGCCCTACCTCCACTGGCACCCGGCTGGCAGGGATGGCCCCCTCTACTGAGGAGGCCCTGGAGGCCCAGTCACCCCCGAAATCCGAGGGCAGTCAGAGTGAGCACTCGGCTGGCCTAGCTCCAGAGCCTTCTGGGAAGCAGCTGGCATCCTTCGAAGGCAGGCAGGCCTGACTCTTAGAAGCAGCCAGTCCTGGGGTCCCAAATCTAAGGCGCAGGGGCACAGGTGGAGAGAGAATGTGCTGGGAGTCCCCCTAGGCCGATGGAGGTCCGTGGTCTGGCTGATGAATGAGACTGGAGGTGGAGGCCCCGCCCTGGCCTGGGAGGAGCAGGCTTCCAACGCCGAGGGGTTTTTAAAAAGGAAAGAAAGGAAGACGGATGGCATTTTGTAACCGGCAAGGCCTGAGGAAGTGGTTGGCTGTCACGTCTTGGATCTCTGGCCCTGTGGCCAGGAGGTGGGGTGGTTGCCGCAGACCATGGCCTTTCTCCACCCACATCAGGGGCAAGGTGTGGCATATCGTAGGGCGGGGGCATGAAGGGGAGGCTGCTGGGGAATTCTCTGTGTGGGAGAGGCCTGCCATACCCCTCCTCTGCCTGGCTTCCGGCAGCCCTGGGAGCATAGGGGTCACTCACTGGGCTGTTTCCACCGAGTCAGTGGTTCTAAACCAGGGGTCCTCAAACTTTTCAAACAACAGTCCCTCAGACAGTTGGAGGGCCGAACTATAGTTTTAAAAAAACTATGAACAAATTCCTATGCACCCTGGACGAGTCGCCTGCTAAGCAGGGCAGGCAGCGGTGGCGGCAAAAACACCCGGCGGGCTGGATAAATGTCCTTGGTGGGCCACATGTGGCCCGCGGGCCGTAGTTTGAGGCCCCCTGACCTAAACCACCAGCTCTGCTCCTCGGGAGAGAAATGGACTTTCTGCTCCTGTACAGAGTTAGTCTCGGGACGCACGCGGCAGTGACCCTGTCCTATAGGGTCGCTCTGGGTCAGCACCGCCTCGGTGGCAGTGGGTTACCTGGCTTCCAGAACTTCTTGACTGTCATCCAGTCCTCCTGGTTCTCCTCAGAGACTTCCTGGCCCTCGGAGTCCTCCTGGTCCATGGGCTCCCCAACCCACTGCAGGCCATAGTCACTGAGGAACCGCTGCAGGGACAGAAGGGGAAGAAGATGCAGGGACACTGTCTGTATCAGCCTGGCCCTCAACTTCCAGAGTCCGCTGGACAGCGAGGATGCTCTCGAAGACCTGGCCCCTTCCTACTCTGTGACCCTTGGAACCTCTTTACCCGCCGATGCCTCTGTAGAGCGAAGATGAGCCACCTGCCCCCCAAGGCTGTGAGGGCACTCAGAAGATGCCGAACATTGGCAGGTGTCAGGCAGGCACAGCAAGCCCTCTGCTCAGTGAGCCATGAAGGCTGCGGGCCTGGGGGAGGTCGAGACCCCGTGGGTCTGGACAGAGTGTGAGGGACAGGGAGGAACTGGGAGGACATGGCCACCACATGTGCCCCCCACGAAGGTTTTACTTCACATTCTCTCTGCCACAGGAAGGCTTGGGCTGTCGACACTTCCCGCGGCCAGTTCCTTGGCTGCCTTCCTTCTTAACTTGACCTCCCATCTCCACCCCTCGCGCTGAAGCGGTTCCCGCCCACCCTGGCCATGAGGCCCCACGCAGGACCCACGTCTGCCTTCATCGCTCTCCACAGCCCCCGGGGGGGTCCTCCTCGCTCACAGGCTGCTCCTTTTCCCTTTGTCTTGCTGATCCCCCTCTAAGGAGGGGGCTTCCAAAAGCTCACAGGAAAAAAAAAATGCCCTTAAAAGATAATGTCATTTTCCCACAAACTTTTTGAAGTCCCCTCGCCTTTGCTGGTACCCAACATCTCTGTTGGCAGGTGCAGGGCTGAGCCCCCTGTCCCTTGTGGGTGTATCGGTCCCACAGATGCACATACTTGTTACTGTGGCTCTCAGGTGCCATAGAGCCCTGGTGCAAATGGAACCAAACCCTGCCAGGCCCTCGCCATCCCCACAGCTGATGCTGCGCCTGAGCCCACCGTTGCAGCCACGGTGTCCGTGCATTCTGCGGAAGGCCTTCTCTGCCGCTGCCCCTCTGCTTGAGCAAGCACCACGTCCTGACAGCAGGCACCTGGGTCCTTGCTCGGAGGCGAGCTCCTGGAAAGGCGGAATGGTGACTCATTCTGTTTGGGGACAGTGACTCTGTGTTCTTCCCATCTTCTTTTGCGGTTTCCCGCGCCGTCCAACATTTTGCCCACAGACTCTCAACATCGCAGCTCGAGGCGTGCACTTTCTCTGGAGTCCTTTCAGTTGGAGCTCTGCTGCACATGTGCTTCCTTTGGGTTTTCTAGCCGCAGGGCCTTGGCCATTCCCTCTCCCATTTGACTTTGTCGCCTCGAGCTGCTCTTTGGTGTCATCTTTCCTTCCACTCGCCTCAGCTGCTCTCGGGTGAAGAGCAAGCTCCAGAGCCTGCTGCATCCACTCTGGAGACCTTTCACTGTCTTCGTGAGCGCTGAGCGTGATGTCAGGTCTTCTGTCGCGCGTGCTCAGTGCAGCAAAGCTGCTCTCGGGATGTTCTCGAACTCAGGTGGGGCGGACTCGAGGTTGTGCTTGGGCTCCGGGATGCTCTCGAACTCAGGTGGGGCGGACTCGAGGTTGTGCTTGGGCTCCGGGATGTTCTCGAACTCAGGTGGGACGGACTCGAGGTTGTGCTTGGGCTCCGGGATGTTCTCGAACTCAGGTGGGGCAGACTCGAGGTTGTGCTTGGGCTCCGGTGCACTTGCGTTCATTTCCTTCAGCTTCCACCTGAACTTGCACATGAGCAATCGGCGGTCTGTCCACAGTCGGCCCCTCGTCTGGGTTCAGCTGCTGATGGGGGGCTTCTGCAGAGGCTCTTCCCACAGATGTAGGCACTTTGATTCCTGTGGATGCCATCTGGAGAAGTCTCAGTGTATAGTCACCGTTTGTGTTGTTGACGAAAGGCATTTGCCATGAAGAAGTCATTGGTCTTGCAAACGTCAGTCATGCGATCGCCAGCTTCATTTCTATCACCGAGTCCACGTTTTCCAGCCTCTGTTCCTTCTTTGTTCCCCACTTCTGCATGGCAATCACCGGTGGCTGTCATGCCTCTGACTGCAGGTTGGATCCACATCTGACTGAAGATGTAGGTGCAACCGAGTTGATTCCCACTCCGTGCCTCTCACATGCAATAGAACGAAGCCCGCGTTGGCCCTTCGCCGTCCTCAGGATTGTTGCCCTGTTGGAGCCCACTGACAACCCATCTTGTTGAGGGTCTTCCCTCTGGTTTTCTGACCCCTACCTTGCCACACACACACACTTTACCACGTATACATACATATATGGACAGTACCCGCATTGAGAGCGACTGCAGATTTCAGCCCTGAGCCCCAAATTCAAATTTCCACCACTGACATCTAGACCTCAAATAGGTCTCTCAAAAGTAACTCTTCCAAATAGCCATGACACCTTGCCTCTCACCTGTGCCCACACTTCTTCTCTTGCAGGTTTCCCTCTCTCGGTCGATGACCACCACCCCGAGCCCCAGGCATCACCCAGGGCCAATGCCCCCCACACACACACACACACCGGGGACAGTAGAGCTCACTGTGGGAAGCAAGGCTCACAGGTGAGGTCCCAGAAGAGCAGGGCATGGCCCCCTGGTCACCTGCACCCCAATGCCTACCAGAGGACCTGATGCACAGTAGGTACTTTAGTGCATGAGGTGAGCTTGTATATTTAATGAAGCAGTAAGCTTATAGATCCCAGAATGTGTCAGCTGCTCGGGTGCCAGCCTCACGCCTCACAGCAGTGCTCTGAGAAGCCCCAGGGACCACCGGGGGATGGGGGATGGGGGGCCTCCGGGAAGACGGTCCAAGGGAGCAGTGGGAGGAACAGGCGCCAGGCAGGAAGGGCTGGCAGCTGCCGCTGACGCGTGGCCCTTTGCTTCGCCAGCTTACAAGAGTTGGAGCTTTAGAAACCATGCAAGAAGCGGGAGCGAAGGGAGACCTCAGACAGAACGTCCAGCAGGGCAGGGGAAGTGAGCCCAGGACCTTTCCTCGTGCCTGGTGCCCCTGGAGTTCAATTCCTGACTCACTCGCCCCATGTCTCAGGCCCTCCCAAGACAGACCTTCCGTCCTCTGTAACCCCTGACCCCAGGCCTCAGTGCTGGGTGTGACGCTCCCTCTCCCTGCCCCTCTCCCCCCAGCCTCAAAGAGGGAAGCTGGGTTGACAGGTGTGTGTGGTGGCCGGATGCCCACGCCCCTGGGTAAGAAGGCTGGTGCAGAAGCAGGATGTGGCCTTGGCATGTCTGCCCAGCACTGAGCTGGGCCCCAGGCCCCAGCAACGAGCACAGGGGAAGTGGTCCCTCCTGTGTGGCATGCATGGGAAGGAGGAAAACGAGATGAGGCACTAGGATTATGACACACAACGTGTGGTCAAGGGCCAGACTGGACCCCTGAGGAAGTCGCTTCAATCTGAAACTGGGGTCCAGTGAAAACTGGCCTGGGGAAGTGGGCAGGGCCACGGCAGGTGGCACACAGCATGAACGAGGCCTGAGGTGGGAAAGAGCCCGAGTGGTCACAGGACCAGAGGAGGGGCCCATGCCGGAGGACATGTTGGAGGGCAGGGCAGCGTGAAGGGAAGTGGTTCAAGATGAGACTGAAGCAGCTAGCAGGGTCAACCCATCGGGCAGCGGGAGAGGCATTCAGCCCAAGAGCAACGGGGGCGGGGGCATGAGGGCTACTGAGCAAGGAATGGGGTGATCAGGCTCTAAAAGCTGTGTGTGCCCCGACCCTGGACCTCTCCCTGCATCTTCAAACTCCATCCAGGGCCCTGGGTGGAATGGGGAAGGTGGGGGGGAGGCACATTCATCAGAGAACTGGCTCCCAACTGAGGGGCAGGCACCCAGAGCCTCACTCACCTCCATCTCGTCCACCTGCCGCTGCAGCTGGGTGCATGTCATCTCCAACTCCTCCTGCTGTTGCAGGGCCTCCTTGCCTGCAGGGACAGACAGGGACAGGGTTCCACTAGGCCAGCTCAGAGGCCACCTCCGAGAACCCTTGGGACCCCCCCCCCCAAAAAAAAAACTGCTTCTGGGTCCCGATCTCTCTGGTCTCTCCACCAGGCACTGTGGCCAGCTCTCAGGAGGCCAGCACCTCCCCGCCCTTGCCCCAGGTTGGAGGTTTCTGAGGGGGACTGGGTCCCGTGCATACTTGCTCATTCAGTCCCTGATAGGAGCAGGGTGTCCCTGCCCCAGCAAGCACAGAAGTCAGCTCGATATTCTTGGGTCCCTGATACCCAGAAGTCTCTGTCCAAGCGCACAGAGGCCATGGGGGGGGGGGGGTTGATCCCTGGACCAGGGGCTGCTCAGCCCTGCAGAGGTTGGGCTGCACCACCCTCGAAGGCTCCTGCCTCCTACCCTGGCTTTGCTGCAGGGTCTGCACCAACTTCTCCAGGGACAGAATCTTCTTATCCTGCGGCAGCAAGGCAGAGGGTCAGCGTGGGAGCGGGGGACTCCCCAGCCCCTCCGCAGGGGAAGAGGCAGTGTGTTGGCCTGTGTGGGAGGCTGAGGGCCCACTCATCACTCCTGTGCCTCCGACAACCCTGGTACATCCTAGTGAAGTGGGGAGAAGGGAGGCGCACTGCCGCCCTCCAGTCCAAGTCTGGACCCTCAGCACGGGGGAGAAGGTCGTTAGTCTCAGGGACCTCGTCAGTCGGGTGGGGGAACGGGGGAGGAGTGGGTTTCCCTCATCCCTGGCCTCTCTGGGTGGCCCGTCCTGGGACCCTCCGCCCCTCAGATTGGACCATGGCCCTTCCCACTGGGTGCCCCACCTTGGACAGGATCTCCGCAGCCTGGGCCTGCACCTGCTGCTCCAGATCCTGCAACCTCTGTGCTATGGAGGGTGTCACATCCGCGTCACAGAGCACAGCGCCTGCCGACCAGACACGTCCGTGGGGCTCAGGCCGGGACTGAGGGCTGTGAGGCTGGGGTCCCCAGGAGCCAAAATAAAAGGAATAGCAGCATCTAACACTTGTGTAACTGCCCTGAACCCTTTACGTAGATCCATGTGTCATCCTTGCCTTCTGCCTATGAGGGACATCAA